ACTTCACCTTCACTAAGAGCGCACACACTGTCTCTTTTAAACTTTAATTTATTCAATACTCACTCTTTGCCAGGCACGCTGGGCTGCAAAAAGATAAGGTGCTCATGAAATACTCATGGAGATGATGAGAGAGAGGCTTGCAGTGCTGTGCTCATGTCTAGCAGGTTTTTTAGCCTGGGCTAGGGAATAGAGGAAGACCTTCCTGAGAAAGCACAGGTAAGGCCAAGTCTTGAGGATGATAGGAGATTGCTCTGTTTGGGGGTGGAGGGAGTGGAATGCAAAGACAGAAATGAAGGTTATAGAAAAAGACCACCCGGTCCTCCTCCTTCAGTTACAAGTGAGAACAGGGAGGCTGGAGAATTTCCTCCTGGCACCCACATTTAGTGGAAAAGCAGGAACCCAAGCCTCCTGACTGCTCTGTCTTGATTTGTATCAGGAATTAGGTCACCAAATAGATAGTGCTCTCTGACAAGGCCACCTTGGAAAGTTTACTCACAAACTTAATTATGTTTCTCTTTCAGGTGTCTGGTTCCACTCCCCTTTATGAGAAGTTCCACATTCCTTTTCACTCCTGGCTTCCATATCCCATATATCTGTAAAAGTGAAGGTCTGCTCTTGGATAGGCTGGTGAGTAATCCAAACGGATGTCTCTACTCAGTTTTGGCTGTGTGGCCTGTACACCCATGTGGCCAACGAGGCATCTCCAAGTAGTGGGCCATGCCATGGTACCAACTCAATGCTCATGCTGCATGCAACATGTCAGAAGATACAACCACGCAGAAAGTTTCATCAGATGCTATTTTGTTGCAGAAAGGTTCAAAATACCATAAATGAATCATTATGCTTCTGGAACACTTGGCCCTTGGATCCTGCCTTAATCAGAAATTCACTTCACTGAAGAGTGTAGGCTCTACTTCTGGTCATAATTTCCAGCTGAGAACCTGGGCTGTCCCCACTCAGACAGAAGCCAACCATGATCCCTAACCCTGGCCATTGTACAGTGCTTTCCTTTGTAGCCTTCAAAGCATTCTCTAATTTGTCATCTAGTGGAACTCTCTCAAAACGCTGTCAGGGAGCCAAATAGGAAAGTTCTAACTTAGGAGATGCAGAAATGGAGACCCAGAGGGGTTAAGAGTCCTGCTCAAAGCCTCCGAGTAGTGAGGGGCTGATCTGGGACAGATGGCCAGGTCTTAGGTCTGCAAGTGCAGAAATTTCTTTGAGAAATACAGAGCAAACAACCTCTGGCTTGACATCAGATGTCAAGACTCCCCTTAGGGTCTCCTGTGCCAGGCCTGGTATAGGTCTTGCCAAAACCAACCAGCCTAGGTGGTGGTACCTTCTTGATCCATTCTCTTTAATTTGATTTCCATGTGCATGGACTGGTTACTGACTGCAACATCCAGGTGAGCCTTCCAGCCCCGTCTGGCCACATGTGTGCCAGAGTGATTTGTTGGTGGGAAGCAGAGACTGCAAGGCTGTTATTGAAGATCACGGACACCCTGCAACTTCTACCCCACTACAGACCATTCTCTGGAGGGCAGGCCAGGAATCCTGAGGCCATGCCTTACTTAACCAAATCCTTGCATACATATTGCCCAGCTGCTAGTCACGGAGGAAGGGCCACAGGACCTCCAAGGGAGAGAGGGCTGGCTTAGAATATTTGACAAGGGGATGGTGATTAGGCTCCCTTTGTGTTGTTGAGAGCAGAACTAGGGCAAACCGCTGTGAGTATCAGGAAGCAAATTTTAATCCCCAGCAAGGAAGAACTTTCTACCCCTATAGAGCTGTTTAGAAGGAGAAGATTTTGTCATAAGCGATAGTTTATCTGTCATTCATGGGAGTTGCCAGTCCGATTGCTAAAGAGCAAGAACTGACAGAAGAGGCTTTTTCAGTCAAACTAAAGCCCATCAATTTTTCTTTATTAGGCCCAACCATTGGTCCTAATTTTAGATTCTGGAGCGGCATCAAATAAAGCTAATCACTCTTGCACATTTTACAAGAGGGGCTTATAAATGAGTTACTAATTGGTGGAATTTCAGGCATGGATATAAAGTGAAATGAAGAATTTCAGGCCAGTAGGGAGATATTTTAGGGCAGTGTGGTCTTTTCAGAGCCCTTAACTCAAGCTGCAAAGTTGACCAGCTATCATCCTGGGTTGAATGAAGGTATGAGAAATTCATTTAACTTTCAGTTACTAAAGATCCTTTTGGTGAGAACGCAGTGGAACCAGTAGGGCTTTAGAAGTTTCCTTTGAGCCTTTGGTAAATGCCTCTTGTTCTTTAGACACAGAATATGAAGTTGAGGCCTCTGATTTAGGAAATGGCTATGCTGGATGGGGCAGGGGCAGGAGAGGGCCCCAAATGATTCCTGCACCTTCTTGTCCCATTTTTGGAGGGATCTTTGTGGAAAGAATGCCATCTATTAGCTTAAGCTCTGCTGATCGCACCCATAGGCCAGACCTGAGAAGGGTTCCACTGGTTCACCAAACCTGTAGTACTGGACATGGCATGCCATTACTGGAGGGCGCCTGGCTCCTTCCTTTGTGGTCACTGTTAGCTGAGAGCAACATTCCACAGCACGCAAGAACTGGTTGAGCTTCCCACTGAAAGTCACATGCAAGTGACACTGACAGCAAGATGTGTCATAGTGTCTCTGGCTCCTCTTTCTATCACTTCCCTCCTTTCTGCCTTTTGTGTGCACTGTCTGGACCACACTGGTCTGAAGTATTGAGGAAGAAATAGTGTGGTACTTTAGTTCCCACTGAGTACTAATGGCTCACTCTGTATAGCCTCTATGTCTAGCCCAGTGAGGGTGGTACAATCATTTCCCTGGATACTTCCTGTTTTCTCAATCTTCTTTCCAACCAGTCTACTAATCCAATCAATATTTCTTTCTTTTACATGGTAACAAGAAAACAGCCTGACCTTCTAGAGATGCATTCAAACATCCATCCATTATCCATCCATCCATCCGTCCGTCCATCCATCATCCGTCCATCCATCCATCCATACATCCATGCATCCATCTATGGATCCATCCATCCATTTATCCACACATCCATCCATGCATGCATCCATTCATACATGCCTTTATTTGACAAGCACTTATTGAAGTTTCCCATAGAGTCAGACACACTGTGCTAGGCATTAGGGACACACTCAGGATAAAATGAGGTCCTCGCATGACTAGCTGAGAGGAAGTACTTGCAGATACACATTTTCAGTATGAGATAGTTGGTGCCATGGGGGTTTGCACAAAGGGCAGTAGGACCCAGGAGAGGCCTGGCGCAGGGGGGTGGGGCGGGGCAGGGCAGGAGTCTAGGAAGGTGTGAAAGGATCCTTGGCAATTGAATCAGCATTTTTCAGACAGACAAGTGGTTAGGAAAAGCTCTGTGCAGATAAGCTCTGTCCATAGGTAAGAGACAGCACACAATGTTTAAAGAGAGATTTCAAGAGGCCAGGGTCTGTACCTGCTCTTGCTCCTCGCTGTGCATGTCTCATGGTGGACTATTGCTCTTCATAGAACACACAACTCTGTGTACTGCATTAAGTTATACACCTGAATTAAATTTTTACTTTCTATCAAACTACTACATGTGTATGATTACAGAATTTAAATTTATGACAAGACTTAAAAAAACCTAGTATTTCCTTGGCCTACTCATCCTTACTCCTGAGTCTTACTCCCTAGAAACACTATTTCCAACATTTTAAGCTCTTATTGCTGGCATTTACCTTCATATTCCTAAATAATATTATTATATTGCTCTATCTTCGGGACATTATTTTTAACTTCCATCTGCAGAGCGGTAGGCTCTCTCTCTTTGAGCTGACATGCCGTGCCTGCTTTTTCTTCCATTCTCCCAGTACAGTTATATTGCAATTTTCTGTTAAGTGAATTTTTAGGATTTTCATATTTATATCTATGAAGATACTCACAAAGGAATGAAAATATGATTATTTCCTTTCTTTTCCCCCAGTTTTATTGAGATATAATTGACATACAGCACTGTGTAAGTTTAAGATGTACAGCATAATTACTTGACTTACAAATATAGTTGTCTCTCTTTATCTGTGGGGGATACATTCCAGGGCCCCCAGTGGAGGCCTGAAACCACGGATAGTAATAAACCCTATATGTACTGTTTTTTCCTATAAATGCATACCTATGATAAATTTTAATTTATAAATTAGGAACAGTAAGAGATCAACAATAACTAATAAAATAGAATGATTATAACAATACACTGTAATAAAAGTTTTGTGAATGTGGTTTCTCTCTCTCAGAATACTATTTTAAAAAGATTTTATTTATTTATTTTTTAGAGAGAGAGGGGGAGGGAGGGAGAGAAACACTGATCAGCTACCTCTTGCATGCCTCCAACTGGGGGCCTGGTCAGCAACTCAGGCATGTGCCCTGACGGGTAATCAAACTGGTGACCTTTTGGTTTATAGGACAACACCTATTCCGTTGAGCCACACCAGCCAGGGCTCAAAATATCTTATTGGGCTGCACTCACTTTTTCACTTAAAGGAAGTGCATTATGGTTTGGTTGTGCGGGGGTGTGTGTGTGTGTGTGTGTGTGTGTTTGAATTGCCAGCATCATTACTCTTGTGTTTTGGGGTCATTATTAAGTATAATAAAGGTGAGCACAAACACTACAATACTGCAACAGTTGACCTGATAACCCGAGATATTACTAATTGACTAACTGGCAGGTAGTATATACAGGGTGGATATGCTGGACAAAGGGGATGATTCTTGTCCTAGGAAGGGGCAGGACAGTGAAAAATTTCATCATGCTACTCAGAACAGTATGCAATTTAAAACTTATAAATAGTTTATTTCTAGAATGTTCCACTTAATATTTTCAGATCTCAAGTGACCATGAGTAACTGAAAGCATGGAAGGTGAAACCCTGGATAAGGGGGGACTATTGTGAAATGATTACCATAATAAGTTTCGTTAACATCTCATAGGAATAAATTTTTTTTCCTGTAAAAATAATGGAACACTTCACAGATTTTAATGGTATCCTTGCACAGACACCATGCTAATCTTCTCTGTACCCTTCCAATTTTAGTATATGGGCTGCCGAAGTGAGCACTTACTTCCTTTCTTAAACAACGTTTTGTTTTTCCAAGAACTAAAAATTGTGAAATGTGATAGTCTGCCTAGATTTGTATACACCTACCATTGATTCCTCCCCAGACTTTCGGGTGGAGCTACCAAGATCCTCTAGACAGCCAAGCGCATTGGGTGGCTGAACAGTGTTGATGTTTTTCTTGAAACCGTCCTTGCAGGGGCCGTGACCCCCAGCTCTGTTTGATTGACACTGGCTCTCGGAGGTTCGCTGCGCCCCTCAGATCTCAGTTTCCCCTGCACTGTTCTGCTCTCATGATCGCCTTCTTCCTGGATCTCATGTCCTTTAGGTTTACTCTCTTGCTCTGGTGAAAATCCTCTTAGAAATTCTCATGAAAAGACACGTGGGGTAAAATTTCAGAGTGCTTGCTTATCCGAATATGTCTTTATCCTCTCTTCATAATTGACTCAACTTTTGGCTAGATACAGATTTCTAGGTTGGAAATACATTGCTCTACTGCAGCGATTTGCAACCTCTTTCATCTCATGGCGTACATAAAGTGATTACTAAAAATCTGTGGCACACCAAAAATATATTTTTTTGCTGATCTGGCAAAAAAATAAGTATAATTTAGATTCATTCACATCAGACCGCTATTGTTGTTGTTGGCTGTTGTCATTTTTTTTTTATTTCACAACTGAAGGGAAAAGAGGTCAATGCCCCTGACTAAAATAAATAATCAGGTATTGCATGTTTTAAAAATTCTTTCAGCCCCCCAGTGTACTGTGGCACACTGGTTGAAAATCACTTCTGCACTGTATTCTAGGTTCCACTGTCGCTATTGAGAAGTGTGATGCTTTCCTGATTCCCCGCCCTGTGTGTTGCTTTTGTTTTCACCTCTTTCTGAGAGTTTTTATCTCTACTTTTATCCCTTAAATTTCATGATGATATATCCAGGTGTGCATCCTTTTTCATTCATTATATTTGACCTTTTGATCAGTCCTTTGCATCTGGAATTTCACATTCTTCAGTTATAGAAATCTTGGCATTTATTCTTTGTAATTGCTTCCCTTGTTCTCTTTGAGCTCTTTCATTGAAATTTCTATTAAGAGACTATTGGACTTCCTTGATGGATGCTTTAATTTTTCTATGATTTCTTTTATTTCATCTATTGTCTTTTGTCTACTTCCAAGAGATTTCTTGTATTAATCTAGAAATCTATTTCATTTTTATTAAGATTATTTCATATTTAATACCCGTGTACTCTTTTAAAATTTCTGGCTGTTCTTTTACAATAACTTTCTGTTCTTTTTGCACGGGTACTCATCTTATTTTTTCTGAAGATACTAATAGTTCCTTTTTAAAAACAATTATTTTTCTTCCCATTTTATCTTTGTTTTCTCTAAGTTTTTTATTTCTAATTTTTTTGTTAGACTTTTTCTTAAATGTCTGCTGATTCTTAACTCTCTGTTCGTATTCAGAATAAGGAACCATGTTGCTGAATGGACCTGCATGCTTGTGGGTGATCCTTTTTGACTGGTGGCCTTCAGTGTGAAGTGACTAGGTCCTGGAAATTTTCTTAGCTGGCTCGCCAATCTCAAACTCTCTAAAGATAAACCCTCTAGCTTTTTGTCTTCATGTCAGTCTCCTGGGAGCCCAGTAGGTGAAGGAAGGGGAAGGGGTCTCACCATCCTGTCTGAAGACTTCACTTTATGTAGGTGCTAGTTCTGAAAGAGGCAGGTCTCAGGCCTGTCCCTTCGACTACCCACATATAGGAAAGAGGAGGTGGGTAAAGTTAATGAAGGGGACAGAAGAGTAGTCCCAATGTCAGGAAGAGAACCAATGAAGGGAGAGATGATCAATAGCATTGACCATAGCCCACTCAGTTGACTTTAGGTACCACTGGAGATCTTCCATGTTATAGTGGAGGTAGAAGCCTGCTTATGGGAAAAAGGTGGAAACCAAATGGTCCTGCAGAGACTAAACTCTACTTCTCACTCAAACCTTGCTCCTTCCATGGGTGTTGCTACCCTCAGTTCCATTTCTCCCAAAGGTACTCAGTATGTCCTGGAGAAATAGGGGACAGAGGCACACCAGCCGTCAAAAATGATTGACAGACGACAAGAGGAATTCTTAAAGGTATGAAAGTAAAACAAACACTTTATTTAAGAAAAAGGAAACTTGGGGGGAAAAGCCTAATAAATAACTCAGTACAGCTGGCTTAAGCACTTTAAAGCCAGTGTCTGTGATAAGCAATGAAAACATTAATATAAAACGCTTCACCATAAATGAGTACCATTCAGCCTGATGTATTGCAGCTGAGCTGGCTGTCGGATGACATGCTTTTAAAGTGATGTTTACAATCAGTATTTTTTTCCTCCTTTGGTAACTAGAAGAAGACTAGAAACTCTGTCAGGGTGTGCCTCTGAGTCTTGAAAAGGTGGGTGCCCTGACAGACACCTGGCTTTCCTCTATGGCCCCATTCCAGCCAGTTTGAGACGGTGCAAGAAGGAACCCCAGAGCAGGGTGATGAGGGATCTGAGTCGAGAGCTCAGGGCCTAGGTCCAATCAGTGGCCAGTGGTGGGGTCTGGGGACAGTGGGTTGGCATTCCTGGGCTCTTTGTCTCCCCAGCCAGTCTTGGAGGTCACAGAGGGTCTCCCAGGTGCTCTGAGACCATTGTCCTCACAGTCCTGCAGAGTGTGGCAACAGTGCCCACTGAGCTCCTCAACCCCGAAGACCATGCAAAATCTATAAAATGGAAAACTGCCCCCCTGCCCTACCATGTCAATGTGGTCATGGAAGAATTAGATAAAATAGTCACATGAAAGAATGCAAAGCCTTTTTTTAATGTGTGGGTGATCTGAGAGTCATCTAAAGGACACCCTTCCTATTAAGCAATCATAATAATAGCAGTGTGCCTTTGCTGAGCACCGACTTTATGCCAGGCCCGAGCTGAGCACAGAGTCGCCCCTCCTGGAGATGCACCCATGGCTTCCTGTGGCTCCTGGCTCCATGCCTGTGTGGACACCCTTCTCCTGGCCTTCAAAGGCACTGCCTTTCTCCCCTCTCAGGGCTCCCTCAGGACTCTGCGTCTGCCCGGTTGCCAGCACTGTTTCTCCATCCCAGGTTCCTGGCAGTGGTGCTGGCTGTCTAGGGAATGAGAGCTGTTTTGTTTCATTTTGTTTCATTATCATCCTTGTCCATGAAACAAATCCTAGACCCTTTCCTGAAAGTGTTCAACTGTCAGTCACTACAGGGAAAATAAACAGAACAACATAGATGGGGAAGGGGTCAAAGATGCAGAGTCCCCTTGGTGGCTGTCACCCGCTAGTGGTTCCTGAATCCTTTTTTAAATGATGACTCTGTAGTTTCCCAAAAGGGGCTGGGAGCCTCTCTCACTGTGCCTTGGGTCTCACCGACGGCCCTGATGGCTTAGGAGCAAGCCCATCCTGCTCAGACTGTCTGAAAGCCTGTCTGCTGCCTTGAGGGGCAGGATGTGCCTCATCCCTCCCAGCGGCCCCTCGGGTGCGGAGCTGGGCTGCTTCTCTGCTGCCCACAGGAGTTTCTCCCTGGACTGAGAAAACCTTGTACTGTTTCCTATTGGTTTCCTATAGCATCTTTCACAAATAACCACAAGCTTAGTGACTTAAAACAACACAAATTTATTATCTTACAATTCTGGAGGTCGGAAGTCTGACACAGGTCACAGTGGGCTAAAATCTGCATGTTGGCAATGTGGGCAGGGCTGTGTCCTTTCTGGGGTCTCCTGGGGAGCTTTCTTCTATGCTGCCTTTGTTAAGCTTCCAGAGGTCGCCCACATTCCTTGACTCATAGTGCCCTTTCATTTTCAAAACCAACAATGGCTGGTGAGTCCTCATATCCCCTCATTGTGACTCTGATACTCCCGCCTCCCTCTTTCATCTTTTAAAAATCTCTGTGGTGCCATTGGGCCCACCTGAATAACCCAGGACAATGTTCCAGTTTAAGGTCAGCTGCCAGCAATCTTTATTTTCCTTAGCTACGTTCCTTATCTTTTGCCATGTAAGGGAGCACATTCTCAGGGTCTGGGGATTAGGACTTGGGCACGTTTGGAGGAAGAAGAGCTGGTTGGCACTATCCTGTCTACCACAACTGTCTACGTTGGCTTCTGCTCCTGGGACTTCTCCCTCTTCTTCTTGATATAAAAAAGATCGGTAGTAAAGACTGCTTCCACTTGCAGGTAACACTGGTCTCATCACCTGAAGTCCCTAGACGGACAGACTCGCCCTGGTTTCTCCAGAGGCCCCATGGTAGGCAGTTGCCAACGTTCCAGGAGATCCATCACCCAGCAACCAGAGCCCTCTTCTGGGCTTTCACAGACCCTCTGCCCCTTTTAGGCCTCACTGCCAACTCACACTTCTGGTCTGAAGGAGCCTCTGCTCACAACACAGTGGTGTGGCGGAGAGGATGACGGGCCCTGAGTCCCACAAAGGGCCCAGCTGCCACCTCCGCTCACCCCACGAGGATTTTATGGTAACACACTCCAGTGTGCTCCTCCTGGCAAGGGCCTCCTAGGAAAATCATCGCTTGTCATCTAAAAAAGTTTGAATAATCAGAAACAAGAAATAGTATATACTCATATTTATACTATCTCTCTCTCTCTAAGATGGAAGGAGAGGGATAATCTTGCCAGCCCCCTATCATCAGGGAGCTCTCCCTGCATGTTTAGGTTGCCATTATCCCCAAAATGTACAGCCAGACCGCTTCAGGGCTATGTTCTGGATCCACCATGATGTCACTTTGGACAAGCTACTTCATCTCCTTGAGCCTCAGTTTTCTTGTTCCCCAAATGGGAAGATCTAATACGAAGAGCGAGGAAAGAAGGTAGCAGCTGTATAGTTCTGTACTCCTTCCTTCTGCCGCTTGCCTCACCTTGCTCCCTTCCTAACTGTTACCCCCCTTACTCTCGTTGTTCTCAGCATGCTTCATTTCTTTCTAAAGGGCCCAGGAATAACATGTTGCTATTTTCAGGCCCTCCTCTTCG